GCTGCCTACACGGCAGCCTTATGCAGTGTGTTGCTGTTGTTAATGATAGAGTTAGGTGTAGTTTGGTGTAATGTAAGCTAACTTGTGTCAGTGCTTTATACAGCATGTTAGTGCTATATACAGTACTGTGTACTGTATATAGTATTATTTTCTGTGCTGTATATTAACTGTCTTTTTTCTGTTTGTGTATGTGTCAGTGACGTCACCAGTGTTCCTATTTTTTTAACTTTTTTTTTTTCAGCAGCAGGTTCTTTTGCTGCCACATTGCCATTCCCCCCTTCTGCATCGCAGGTGTTCCACTACATTTGATAAAGTATTGCACCCAAGCACCAACTTTATATTCTCTAATAACATTTTATAATAAGCCCCACATCATGTCTGAAAGGCCAACAAGGAGACAGGTGCGTGACAGGTGCATATAATTAGAATTTTTAGAGCAGGGTCCAATCCTGCACTCATCAAGAATAACTCTGAAGAGTGAAGGTGCCCATACACTGTACGATTCTCATACGAGAATCGCGGGAAATCCCGCGATCGTACGAGAATCGTACAGTGTATGGAAGGCGTGCAACCGTTTCTACTGTACGGTCGCACGTCTTCCATCGAACAAGCAGGCTGGAAAACCCACCGGGAATCGTATGATTCTCGGCGAGTGAGTGGCCTGCTGGTTCGACAACTGACGAACGGGCCGGTGTGCGCCCGTTTGCCGTCCTTGCAAGCCCGCCCCTCATTGCAGTCATCGCAAGCCCGCCCCCTTGAGGGGCGGGCTTGAGATGATCGCAAGTACGATCTGCCTGTCCAAGATGGGCAGATCGTACGTTTTTTTAAGTACTTTACAACCATCGCAAGACTAAAGTCTTGCGATGGTTGTAAAGTGTATGGCCACCTTTATAGTGTGAACGCACCACCAACACTAAAGGCCCAATTTTCAAGCACCTGTTGTTACTTTCATCCAATGTCTGCAAAAGAGGCACCAGAATGTATCCAAAAAATCTCTAACCTTTTTCCAAGGTTAGCCTCTTCATTCAGGCTGCCTCCCCAAGCAGCTTTTTTACAAGATTGAGGGCTTGTTCACACCAATTGTGGTGCGTTCCAGATCAGTAGCTGCTGGAACGCACCACAATCGCTCACAAATCTTCCCCATGCGTTCTGGGGCGGGAGGGGGTGTGGCAGTGCATTGAAGTCAATAGCACCGCAGCCACGCCCCCTGCCCGCAGTGCGATCGGACATGTGGCAAAACATTGCCTGCGTTCCGTTCAACTGCAAACACAAAAAATGCTGCATGCTCTATTTTTTGCGTTTGCAGTGGAACGGAATGCAGGAAATGTTTTGCCACGCGTCCGATCGCACTGCGGATGGGGGAGCATGGCTGTGGTGCCATTGACTTTAATGCAACCCCACGCTCCCTCCCGCCCCACAACGCAGGGGGAAGTTTTCTGAGCGATTGCGGTGCATTTCAACAGCTATGGTCTCCTCCCTGCTGATCAATCATTGGTTGCATAATCCCTCAGTATAGAGCCATTGTGTGATGGCTGCAGGGTCATATTCTGGCTCTCGGTATTGGGAAGACTACACTGATACTCTCAATACATCTCCTTTAAATGTGTAATGTTTGAAAAGAAATATGTAAGTGATCAAAAATCTAGTCTCACAAATTAGTGTCACTTCAATGGCAGCATACAATAAAGAATTTACATTCTTACTAAAAACAGTAAGTTAGCTTTACAATAAGCTTTCCCTGAGCTTTGTAGCTGAAGGCACTGTGGTGCAAATCATCCTCAAAGTTCACAGAGGAAGCACTGAAGTAGTAGAAATAATTCTCTCAGCAGCTGAACTCACCCTGCTCCCTCTCCTTGCAGTAACTCAGCAGTCTTCCAACCTTTTAATCTCTAATATTAACATGCAAGTGCTCTTTGAGAGGTAGCATGGTAAACTGAGCTGCTAGGAGAACAACTTCAACAACTTTTGTTTCTCCTGTGAGTGAGAATCAATTACTCCACAGATACATAGCCTATTTACATATTCATTATAACATTTTTAATGAAAAAAAATGCTTTGCTCCCCATAAACTACTGCTGTCTGGAAATAGGTTGATTTGGGGTTGCCTTGTCCCTGGTTTGTAATTTCAGTAAGTAGGGCTTAATTAACCCTGGGAAAACAAGTTACTGGCCAGACTGTTTAGACAGCTTTGATGTCAAAACATGCGCTTCACACAGATGTACATTACTGGAGCTGCCGTAGGCACATAACAGAGAGGAATATTCAGGGAGAGTATTCTGTATTGAATGATTTATGCTTGCCATTGAACCTGGTGTTTACTCACAATCTGCACCGAACTGGTAAATTTCCTCCGGACTTGAGGCAGTAGGAAGGACAGTTCCATTTCTTAGAGTGAAGTCATCTGCAGGATTATCATTCATGACACCCAGAAGTCCTTGGGTTTTGTCTTTAAATATCTCAGGAAGAAAAACTGACAGACTTAGAAATCCTCCTATTTCTCTAACTTCCACCCCTGCTCCTGAGGGGAACATCACAGTGACATTGGCGGGAGAGGGTGAGAATAAGAAAACCCCTGAGCAAAATGAACAGAGATAGGTTTTTTACTTGCAATTGCTTGATGAATTAAAATTACCTCATACAATGGTCTTGAACAAAAAATAAATAGTTTCTTCAACATGCACAGGTCTTCATTAAGGTCCATATGCTCACATTGATTGTATCCTAGATCTAGCTGATAGCTAAATTACCAGAAAAATTAGTATAGGCATAGGGAATTAGGTGCAGGTAATATTTGGCACAGAACTGCACAGAACTAATACTAATACATTTGGTACCTGATAAGGTTAATCTGGCTGTTTATACATTATGGTTAGTGTTAGGAATACGGTAAAGTTAGTGTTTAGGAGGGAGGTTTTAATTCGTCTTCTTTCACATGGGTGAATCATGTCCTGACGAAGGGGGCGTGCCCCAGAAACGCGTCGACACGTTGGTACACTGATCTGCACATAGGATACATCTGACAGACTGCCACTGCATCAGTCCGGCTTTTGCCTTTACATTGTGCCTAAATGCTTGTGATCTTCCACTCTTGTGAGTATTCATTTGATTGATTTTGTTCCACTGTTAATTGAAAAATAAAATTTATCTGCACTAGAAGGCGCCTCTCTCGTTTTTGTCTTGTAGTGCCTCCAGTCTCCCCAACTGTTTTTGGAGCTGCCTCTCGCATAGATGCCATCATACCTATTGTGTCGCCAAGACTGTATATGATAACTTCTGGCGCTGCTTTTTTTTTTGCATCTTGCTTCTTTCACATGGGTGTGCACATCTGTACGTTGTGCATGCTGTGCAGACACCTGTTCGCGGGAGAAACAGGTACAGCGTGTACTGTAATTGCGGGTAACTGCCTCCCTTATGAGAGGACATGGCTGCATGCTGACCCAAACCTGCAGGTATGAGTGACTGCACTTGGATGCAGACTGTCTGCAAATGTGCACACCTGTGTGAAGGAGGCCTTAAAGAATAACTATGGGGAAAACATTCTCAACCTCTGCAGTGCGGGTGTAGCCCATTTTTCCCGGAGTTCTTCTTTAATGCAAAGGTTAAATGTTTTTCGAGAAACTTATATGTAATATGTGTTTCATATGCATAGTACAGCAGAGGCACTTGGCTTGCTCTACTGGTCAGAACACTGGCTAGCGCTGTGTAGGCGATGGTATTGCAATGAAGGAAAACAGAAATAGCCCACCCAATAATATTTCTACAAATCAGTAACCAAAGTCAAAATGTATCTCAAAGCAAAGTTAAAAAAACGTATACGAAATATGTGTTTCACATGCACAGTACAGCGGAGGTGATTGGCTTGCTCTACTGGCTAGCGCTGTGTAGGTGATGATATTGCAATGAAGGAAAACGGAAAACTGCTGTGAAATCCTAAGCAGGGTTGTTAGCCCTGCCTGCCAGACTACAGAATTCTACCAATCCCCTACCCTTTTCTGCCTCACTCCACATACATACATTGATTTATTTCCAAACAAAACAATGCTGCAGCCTTGACTACCAAGCACCTGTCTACATGGCTCATTGGAGATGTAGTTTGTGTAGGTGTGTGCTAATTCAATGGGAAATGACCTAGCAACAGCTGCTCCAGTAAGCCTTGTGATGTTATTACAGGGCAACAGTAACAAGTTAAATAAAAAAAAAATGTTGAGACATACTCCAGATGAGGTCAGAGAAGTATGGGAGTAAATTTTGGTCATGTGTTTAAATACATTGCCCCACTGAGCTATATATGCTGCTTATTGTTTACAGCAAGCAAGTAATCAAGACTTGCAAAAAATGGCTCTTGGCTACTACAGCAGATCCATATACTGACAATCATAAGAAGGTTATCAGTATGTGACTGGAGGGTGGGGGCTTTTGACAATCATGTAGTGATTGATTACAGTGATACCTGCTTGCCTCTGCTACGACAGCAGAGAATAATGAGAACCCTCCTGAACTTTTCCATCCAACAGGTTTGGATTGAGTGGATCTGAGAAGATCTCCCCAGCATACATAGACAGAATGTCAGACAACTGCATTGAAAATGGTTTGTTTGACAAAGCTGCATAAGGATACCCTAGTCTGCTTGCATGAATAAACAAATACCAATTTTGGGAGCAAATACAACACATATCAGCTAACTATTTACTTATTATCTTTGTGCTAGATAAACAATCTATAAACTTCTATTGCAGTATTTGTTTCTTATTATTTCACATTTGCCCATCCAATGAACATTTCCCCGTAAATGCTGAGTGTGATACATTGACATATATATCAAGGTAACCTACCTTTCATGTCCATCCAACTTTGCTCTTCAAAGCTAATAATCTGTTTATTTACAAAAACTTCCAGAGTATTTATGGTTATATCATGCATGCGCACTTCAATTATATCAGAGTCCTCTTCTTGCATAGCCACTGAAGAAATGGCTGCTATATTCAGTTTTTTAGGGAGTGACCGTCGAGATCGGATATTATCATCTTGCAAAATGGTAACAGTCTGGATCGGTACTGGCTCTTTAATAGAAGAGGATTAAAAAGGATTAATGTTACGGTATATTTTTTCAGTATTGTATGTGTGTGATATACATGACAAGACCACCATAAGAGCATGACTAAGAGGGCAGCTAAAGTCTAAATGGCATAGATGAAGTCACAGGCTTTGGGCTAGGCATTTAATTTCCCTTCAAAATGATAAAAATTCTATATGCCATCATAAGTAGTAGTATTATTAACATTATTAGTGCTTCAAAAAGCACCATCTTGAGAGCACAACGCAGTATAATTGCCACGCACTGATCACTCCATCCTTGCACAGGTATTCAACAGTGGCAATTAAACAGGAACAAGGACACAATTTGAAGGCTTGTTACCCACACTACTTAGCTGATGGAATTAGGCCTGGAAAGATAGTGGGGAAATCCCACCCTCCTAGCCGTGGCCTGGAGACACAAGGCTCCAAGATGGCAGCCACATTCACAACCTGGCAAAATGCTGGACTGGAGATGAAACAGCCCTGCCACAGTGCAACAGAAAATGAACAGATAACAAACAGGGTGAGAAAAAACAGGCACAGATCCTGATCACCTGACTGGGAATAAGAAAGTGAGCTGATTTTACAACTGGAAAATAGTCCGACATCTCAGGCCTCGGCCGACCCATCAGGTCACAAACCACTTGCATTAGTCATTGACAGGGAAATGGCTGAAATCATTTCAGACAACAAAGCAGCCATTAAACAAACCTGGGTCTCCCTCCAGATTCCCCCAACCCTTTATCCACCCCCCCCCCATGTATTTTGGGGTTTCTGTATAAATCACCAGGTGTGCAGACCTACTCTGAAGCGAACTGGACAAAGCTAAAAATAAAACTATCATCACTACCACCTCCCCCTTGCATTGGGAAAATTAAAAGAACCTGCAGAGTGAGAAGATTTTGTGACCCTTCTTGCATGAAAGCCATATAGCAGAGATGGTGTGGAAAGATTATCTTCATGATATTTGGCTAGTGAAATTTACATATAATATATTATTAGAGATGCACCGCTACCGATACTAGTATCGGTTTCATTGCTGATACCAAGTATTTGGGTGAGTCCCGAGTATTTGGGGTAATCGCGATACCAAAACTTCTGGCATCAGGATGCTGGGTGGTGAGTCATTACACACCGCCTGGCTTCCAGAATGGCTCTTCACCAGGGAGGATGGGGCTGGCTTCCTGGCCAATCAGGAAGCCAGGGGGCGGGTAATGACTCACCCCCTGGCTTCCTGATTGGTTGGGAAAAGCTAGCCAATCAGGAAGCCGAGTGGCGAGTCATTACCCCCCTACGACTTCCTGATTGGCCAGAAAGCTGGCTTCCTGCTTCCTCATCACCATGACAAGGGCGCATGGAGCCAGCTTCCCGGCTAATCAGGAAGCCAGGTGGCGAGTCAATACACACCACCAGGCTTCCTTAATGGGACTTCCGGTATCATTATTCAGTATTGGTGGGTACTGAAAAAAAAATATTGGAACTCGTACTCGATACCGATAAACCGGTACCGGTGCATCCCTAAATATTATAATAATATATATGCTCTATCAGCTCTGGCTGAAATTGTTTGCACATATTTGCTCTGTAACTATAGGCATTCATGCTCTAAGCATGCTTTCAGAAAATTATTTATCACTGTCCCCAACACCTCATGTCTATCTCCAATAGGAAAAGGAAACATGTGCACCACAGAGAAAGCTTAATTTTTACATGTTAATTTGATAAAAGATGAACTCCAGTCTTAACGTTAGTCTTGAACAGTTGTACGGGCTCCTCGCCTGAACCGAAATTGCCTACTTTGACTTTACTACACTCTGTAAGCTCCTCACAGTCTGCAATGGAAGCTGCAGCTAGTTATACAGAGCCCACCTCATTTCCTGGCTGGACTTCCAACATCATCAAGCACTTTGCAGACTTACTGTCCCTTGCCTGCCCCTTTCATTAATTGAATTTCAGTTTTTTCACTCATGTAGACTCAGCATCACATGTTGGTGTTACCTATTGCTGTCTGTATATAAATGCAGCCTGTCTAGAAATGCCTACTCCTCTTTTGACGCCAGCCCTTTAAGGCATTTTGATATTTGCATAACTCCTCCCATGAGTCAGTCGACTGTTTTTGTAAGGAGTACTGAGAAAGGGTTCTGTGATGTGTCCAGGAAGCTATGCTCAACTCCCTGCTTGCCCCTCCCACCACCAAAATAAGATTTTAATGAACATTTAAAAATGTAATTAGCATGTTGAAAAGGGGGGAAAGAAGGAACCAGGGAAGGCCCTTTAACCCATAAAGTTTGGTGTATTTAGTCTGCCTGTTCAAAGATAGTTCCAAGATAGTTGATACTAAAGTTAATAGAATACATTTCAAAATGTATATGGTGCTTTGAGTGATCACCTGTTTGAATTTCCATGCTTCATGGTCAGAACATGAATTTTATTTCCTGTAGTTAACGTACCATGATATGGTGACGTCCGACACTGAATCCTTAGATTCGGTTTTGTAGAAACGACCATGTCATATTCTCCTTTACCTTTGTATGTGTAAGACAGACCATCAAAACTTATAATATGAGGCTCACCAAATGCTGAAGCTGCAGAAGAGACAAAAATATCAATAATTTGTCACACATTAAAAATTAGAATTGTAAAGCAAGATCCTAGACTTTCTAACATACCAACTTTTGATGGTTTATAAGTGCGGCAGTCACTGGAGGGTCTAAGTTCCATGTAGTACTGGCAGTTATCTGACCAGAGACAACAGTAGTAGAATGTGATCACATCATAGAGCCAGTGAGAGAAGCCTGGTATTCTGGGAGGCTTTCTGTATGGTGGGGAACCCCAGTCATGTCCCCGATCAGGGGTGCTGCCCCCTATTGAATCATTTGTAAGAACCTGTACACCAGAAGCATCATAACAGCACTGCTGCCCTGCTGCATACCTAGGGCTATAAAGAAAGAAAAAGACTCTGATGAAAAAATGTTCACATAAATTTGTTAGTACACACTCAGGTAACAATCTTATTTGATTTATACTAGTAATTTGTATAGCACTGACATATTCCACAGTGGAAGGAAATAATCATTCACACTAGTTCCTAAACTTAAAAGCTGGGCTGCCACAGCCAATATTATTTGCTATCATTGTCAACATTTTATTATGTTGAGGTATATGTCTGACATCTAATGGTAGATGAGCACTACTACAACTTGTTTTTCTGTATACATTTGGTATTTCTCATTGTCCTCCCCTCCTGCTTAGTGTCAGTTGGTATAGTCCTAGATAGACCCGCTTCTTCCATGTTCGCTCATTTGGTTGCTAGTGCTCACTGCAGACACTAGGTTTGGAAGAACTTTGTCTTTTGTACACTTCATGTGACCAGTGAACATCATCTGTAATGTACTGTGAGTAGTAAAGCTACATTGGATTTAAAGGAGAATTCTGAGGTGAATGATTTTCACTCCACCTCATAGTTCGAGCCGACGTGTGACAATGAAACTGTCACGCGTCGGCTCAATAGATCGGGAAGTGAGCGAACACATACCGTCACTCGCTCACTTCTCGATCATGTCCATGCAGAGAGCCGTGACTGTCACTCACGGCTCACTGCAGGGTTTCCCCCCTCCCTGCTCCTATCCTCCAGCACTGACTGGCAGAACGGCTGGGGGAGATGGCGGGTACTGTTGGCTCTGCCTCTAGCCAGCTGTCACTCACGCAGCTGGGTGGATCTCGAGCTGTAGCGTGAATCCAACTGGGGCTGTTAATTTGTCACCTGGCCAGGTTAGAAAATGTGTACTAGAATCCATACAAAAGAAGGAGACTTTCTGAGGAAGGCTGCATACATGTAAAGAGACAGAAATGAAAATCAAAAAAAGCTATCAGGACGCTTTAAAAAAACTGTAAAAAAAAAAAAAAAACACTATAAAGAAAATGTAGGAACCCTATAAATAAATAATGGTGGAGAAATGCTTTAAAACCGAAGTGGTTTATTTATAAAATGTTCACTAAACCTTTTGTTTCTTGTGCAGAATGAATGTAATTGTTGATTAATAATGCATTATGACCACTAGATGAAGGCGGGGAGAATAAGAAGTAGGTGTTTATTTCCCATGCACCTCAGCTCCATCTAGTGGCCATGATGTAGTATTTTCAAACTATTACATTCTTTCTGCACAACAAAAAAAATGATTTTGCCTTATTCGCATAGAACAAATGTGATTGTCAGTTTTGCTCAACAAATGGCTCTGTTAACTTTTTCTAAAAGTTAACATCTATCATTCAAGTATGGAAACGTCATAATGTCTAAATAAAGCACTTAGTATGTACAGTATATATGGATTGTTGAAACAAATTAAGAAATCCACCAAATATCAGTAGGCACTGCATATATACTAGAGCTGATTTGCAAAAGCAGTGCACAGAAATCTGGAGCAAAACAATCCAGAACAAAAAATCTAATTCCTTGTTTCACTTAGAGGAGGAAAAATGATTGGCTGCTCTTGACAGCATCAGTTTTGCTTGAGCTTTCCTTACATCAGTCAACCCCTTTTAACTCTAAAATGACAGTTTCCCTTGTGGAATCTCTAGTAGTAGTAAGTATAGCTAGGCTATCACACTAATATAAGACATCATGAATTACAGAAAATTAGTGGAGTATGACCCTTGCTCATTACCTTGCTTGTATGCTCCTCACACAATGCACAGCACCCGGGTGGTAGGTGCACACACTGCCCTTATCAATGTTGCATCCATAATCTGTCTGAAAGATGCAGAAGGAAATCTCTTAATTTCAGATCAAATTAACTTTTCTATTAGTGTAGAATAATTTATATTGAAATATGGACATATCTCTGCCCCGTCTGTCTTCGGTGTTGTCAATTCTTGTGAAGGTCTGACTGAATGATAAAAACTATAAGAGGTTATCTTGTTTCCTCTTAAAATTAGGTTCCTTGCTGGTTGAATGGCTTAGTTATAAAAAGCTGGTTGCTATTTCAAATAAACACCTTTTAATGGGTAACACTTGTTATACTTTGTGCCTTCTGGAAACGGAACAGAAGAGAGACTGTACTAAGACACATAGTTAACTTTTCTTTTTTCAGATTGTTTTTATTTTGTTCTTTAGATAAAGCCACTTTTAAAGGTCTCATGGTCTCTAAGCCCTCGTTCACGCCTGAACGTTTTGTAGCGCGTTCTACGCTCGACGAACGCTCTACAAAACGCTCAAAAATATAAATCCCATTGTATTCAATGGTCTCGTTACCACCTTGGCGTATTTCCGCCCGTCCCTAACGCGCTACAAAACGGCCCACGCCTGAAAAGGTACAGGTACTACTTTGGGCCGTTTTGTTGCGTGTTTCCATTGGGATACAGCCAAGTAGCCTTCGGAAATGCGCGACGGTCGCGTGACTTTTTTACCGCGAATCGCGGTAGAAAAACGTGCGACAGACGCGCATATGCAATACGCCTAGGTGTGAACGAGACCTTAGGCCTGGTTCACACCTGGGTGTTTTGTAGCGCGTTCGAACGCTCTGCAAAAAGCTCAAACACCAAAATCCCATTATTTCCTGTGGGTATGGTTCACACCTGGGCGTATTACAGGCCGTATGAACGCGGTACAAAACGCCCTACGCCCAAAGAAGTACAGGAGCTTCTTTGGGGCGTTTTTGTCGCGCGTTTCCATTGGGATACAGCCAAGTAGCCCTCGGAAAAGCGCATTTTTTGCACTTTTTTTACCGCGAATCGAGGTAAAAACGCGCATCACGCAGTGCGGCAAACGCGCATATTCGATACGTCTAGGTGTGAACCCAGCCTTAGTGCTGCAGATATCTAGTCATGATAAATAATATTATAATCAGCAAGCACTTACATTTGTATGCTTATCAGAATCTGGATCTTTCTGCATTTCAGAAACTGCTTTTTTGAACCTACAGAGACATTCCTCTCTCTTTAAAGTGATATTAAATAAAAACTTTTGTTTGTTTGTTTGTGCGGATGGAATTACTGGCAATGAATGCTGTTCCTTGATACTTAAAACTTTTAGCTTCCTGCAAAATCAACTGGTCCCCTGAGCAGTTTCCCTGATATCTTGATTTAAGGTGGCTCCAGTCTCTTGCAGGGCCCTATGGTCCTGCACCCTGCTTCTCCCTTCTCCAAGCTAGTAGATGGGCAGCTAGTCCATCTAGCTAGGACAGTAGTTGGTGGCAGTTGTTTAAAAATATGACTAAGTGTTTGGGCAAAAGTTTAAAATACTTTGCTGGGAATGTATATTTATTTTTGAGAACTTAATACTACTTTAAAGTCTTAGCTGTGAGTGTATGTGTGTGTGTGTGTGTGTGTATAAGCCTGTTAAATGCTTTACTTGCATAGCCTTCCTTTAAACTGATACTCATATCACTACATAAAATGATGTACTGTTTAACCCTATAAAGCACGTACATGGTATCTACCAATATCAGCTCTGGATTGTTGCAAAGTGCAAGGACAGTCTGCGGTTTCAGACAAGAAGTCAGGCAGTTTGTTCTTCTCATCATCTCTCCACCTCAGACACTTATCTGTTGCCCAGGCAGCAGGATCAGCCTTGAAATGCTCTGATAAGTGCCAGGCTAAAGCATGGACAGGACTCCATATCGCGTGCACATTCCTGCATATAAAAAATAACCATACTGTAATAGGATAATTTGGAGGAAACAAATCATGCTAAATTTATATAATTTTTTTTTTTTTTTTTTTTAAATACCGTCATTCTTAAGCTGTCAGTTTTTTTTTTATATATATCACAATCTGTGTTAGAAAAGGGATAGTGCCTACAATTATGTTTACTCTAATTCTTATAATGCATACATACATCCTATATCAACTTCATGCATGAAAAGTGTTTTTAAAGAAGAAGTAAACCTGAATAGCAAAGGAATGGGTTGATGTTCAGCTGCACTATATGAATTACGCCTCACTGAACACAGAAAGATATTATTTAACCTTCTTGTTGCATGTCAATATAGTAAGTTGCAAAGGTTTGCAGGACCATTACATATTATGTCTCACCTCCAGTAAGAACCCTCTTAAAAGTGTGTCAAAAATGGCATCTAACTAATTTTGACTTACTTTTTAACGAACTCCATGTAACAAAGTGTAAACCATGCCCTATAAATCCATAGAGAGCTCCGAAGGCGAGCACATGGCATACCATGTACAGCACTGGCACAGAAATTGGTCCATGTCTGCAACAATGCCAATGAAAGCAAAGCACTGCATACAACACTAAAACATCATCTAAACTTTGCATCATGCTGGAGAGAGTATAATGTTGTTGCAATCTGAACATTTAGGCTTGCAATCATTAGGAAATCATTAGGAAATTCAAAGCAAAATGCTAGTGTGCAGGTCTGTTTTCTAGAATTAAACATAAGTTGGGTCATGCAGTATGACTACTATGCAAACTGCCGGAGTAAATCAACAACAGAATTTCTCTGATAAAGGAAATGCCATATTAAAGAAAGGTTGAGTCTTGTCCTTAATCCAAATGAAATGCTGTGGCATGATCATACACAGGCTTTTTAAGTAAACATTACCTAAAGTAAATTTTGCCCAAAAACTGAGCAAAAAAATACAATGACCAATGCAATTACCTGTTTGCAGTATATTCCACATATTCTACAAAACCAACTATGTTGATCTAAATATTGCAAGGTATTGTTGTTACATACAATTTTGAGGCTCCAAAAGCAGAAAATGACAAAATAATTATAATTGTAAACTGATCCTGTTTAAACTGCACATTTTAAAAATGTGTGCCCCATTGCTTTAGCAACTAACAAGATTACCCACAAAACCTAGGTAGGAACAATACTGGCTCTTAATGTCATGAGCTGCAATCCAATGTATATGTTTAAACTGGATCTGCTTGAAAGTGTCCTGTACCTCTCTCCTGATTTTTTGTCACTTGGTGTGATCCTTAACACTCCTACATCCCACGTATCAAATGGTGATTCTGCAGGACCTGGTGTAAATGTAAAGTTTCCATTATTCGGATGGTTTGGATGAAGTGTGTAGAGGTAGGTCCAATCCGCTTGCCATGATTCAGTGTATGGTTCCCCTGAGAAATTAGATCAGACAACACATTTATAGGCAGGGCTGACTGGTGCAAGCAAGATTTACAGCAAATAAAATAGGCATTTTTTGTTTTCCAAGTTTTTTGGACCTTTTCTTTCCTTTAGACCTGCAGCAGTGAGTGAATTTGAAGCCACTTGCAAGTTGTCAGTTAGTTTTACTTGCCTTTTAACAAAAACAATTTTTTGTTTTAAAGTGGCCTTAATTTAAAAAGTGAAGCTCTGCTATTCCAAAAATGTGTTTTTTTTTCTCTTGAAGATTAGTAGTTCACTTCTTGACATATGACTGTATCTAGCAACCACTGTCCTGCAGTCTCATAGCTGCTAGTGTCACAAGATTTGAAGTAAGAGGTGGTTATGCTATTGTTGTGCTGATTACCGTTCTTGCTTGCTGGAGACCTGCTGTACCTAAGGGCCTCCAGTGTAAAGATTTAACTGCTTCTTTTTTTATTCAAATGTGCTTCCTTCTGCCGTTTCTTGATCATTACTCCACTAGCCATGAGGGGGGCAACTCTGACATGAGGAAGCAAAGACCTTCTTTTCTACCAAGAAGGCCACCTCCACAAATAGACACAGTGCAGAACAAGGTATGATAAATCAGAAATTGACAAATAAAGATCAGCTAGAGGGAGCTTACAGTCAATAATAACTAGTCCTCTGCTTGCCTTTCTTTGGACACAGCTTTCAAAAATAACGAGCCTCTTTAATGCCAATTGTATGTCTTGTGTTATGTGGCCCCATTCTGACCTGCTTGCGTGTGATAATAAACATATTTGTACCTCAATCGGAGAGAGTTCACCTAACTTTATTACTATCACACAGGAGTTAACAAGTCACTGTGTGATAGCATTTGGAGGTGACAGGTTCTCTTTATTGACCCTGTCACCTCCAATACAGGAGTTCCAGCACAGCACTGTTGACTGCTCTCCCCTCTCACTGTCTACACGGAGCGGCAGGGTTACTTTTAACCCTGCCGCTCTGCTCACCACTCTGCATCATGAAGACGTCGGCGGCCAGCGAGGAGAGGATGGAGCCGGGAGCTGGAGCCGGAAGGACGCAGCATGGAGAGCGGTAGTTGCGGGGGGGAGGCGGGGGGAGGACGGACCGGCTGCAGTCCAATTACAAGTGATTTCGGTGACATCGCCGATATCACTTTTAAAGGAACAAGTGGCTTCCCCTATTATTCTAAATGTAGAAAACAAATTACCGCTCGGGAGACTTCAAATCTGTGACGCCCCTCTGCTCCCTGCCGCCCTGAGGTGGCCTTGTCGGGAATCTGGCCCTGCCTGTCACATTCTCTTTGCTTTTAACCCCCCTATGTAATAGCAATAAAGTTAAGTGTAAAAAAAAAGAGTAAAAAATTAAAGTCACGTTTATATATAAAACATTTTTTAAAAGTCCCCCGCCACCATGTACATGCACATACAAAAGCAAACACGCATTGGGTGCACATGTTACATATCACTTTGAACATCAGAGTGAAGGCAATAATTCTAGCATCATACTGTTAACACTAAATTGATGAGCAGTAAAAGTTTTTAAAGCATCATCTAAGTTTTCTCAAATATGATTGCAAAAGTGGAACTATATTTTACAGTTGATAACCTGACCCATATTTAATCAAGTGTGATAAAATGTAGAGGAAGGTGGAATTACACTAAAAATAAACTAAGAAAGAACTAATCAATCATTAACTAGTCACGATGTGTGCCTATGTTATTTATATGATAAACCAAGGTTATCATCATGTCAAATCACCTGTCTCATTATAGCCCCAGACTTCTATGTGGACATGTTGAGTGGTAAGAGTGCTAATATTCCAGGTCATGGTGAGTGTCCGATTATATCCAGGTGTTCCATAATATTGCCATTTTTTTGAATCAACCAACACACTCTTTTCCAATTCTGATGCTTTGCTGTGATGAACTAGAGTAAAATAAATCAGAAAAATAATTGCTTTTGTAATGACATACATTATCTTTATAGTGCTAGCAAATTACTCAGCTCTTTATGGAGAGCACAAATCATTCCCATCAGTCCTTGCTTTAAGGGCCCTTAAAATTGAATGCTCTGCGCACAAGTCTCACAAGTAAGTAAACAGTGATTCAAATGTATGCGATTAAACAGCCTCTGACTGTCTGAATATAGACTTTCACTTAAAGTAATTTTATTCTGATAAAGATCAACATCTTTTCTTGAAGGAAAACTAATTTGGTTTTTGGTACTAATTTATTAACTGAAGTTTTATATTTTGAAGTTACAAATAAACATTTATGACAAGAAATATGGATGACTATGTATTTGTAAAGCATGCTGGACTTTCTAATAAGAATGCCCAGCACTGCCTTTATACTTTCTTGCAGCCTGTGATAATTCACTAGATAGAATGTTGCATCTAGAACTTTCTGACCCACTGAGGAATCTGTAAAACAATGATTACTAATAATCTGTGACTTTACCTTTTTGGTCGTCTCTTTTTACAGTATGGATCTGAAGAGCTGAGATTCATGAAACATGAACTTTTAAAATATTCAAATCTATGAGGTCCATTAATAAAGAATCATCAAATGCTGGCATCTAATTTTTTTACATTTTTCAAAGCTGTTTTTTTTTTTAAAGTGTAAAATGACAGGCAAGAAAATTGCATTGTAGAAAATTCACTTTTTGATTTTCTTCTGTTAAAGATAACAGGTGGTACTTAAGTGTGCAATAAAGATGGTGATATTATAGAGGTGAAAACAGTCTATTCCTATTCTCTTATAATGTGTTCACTTCTATAACAATAACTGAATTAGGGAAATGGATTTTACTATCATAATAAACTATAGAAATAATGTGGAATGTGAATAGTTTTGGCTATGGCAGATAGAGAAAAAGTTTGAGAGATTTATCTCTCAAACACAGACTAGACCTTACCTCTGTCTTCTGCATTGCTTGGTATGACATCACTGTCCTTCCAGTGATCTGGGGAATGCAAAGGCCAACTATACACACTACATTTTATTTTTTACACTCATAGACATAGAGCTTGTTTGCTCCCTATGTGATAGCAATAAAGTTAAGTAAAAAAAAAAAGGTTTAAAAAAATTAAAGTTACAAAAAAATTAAAAGTCACATATCAAAGCAATAAAAAAATGTAAAAAAAAAATTAAAGTCCACCGCCCCCAGATGCACACGTAAACATGCGTTGAGTCCGCCTACGTGCATAAACGACGATTACATCCATTGCGCCGCACATGTTACATATCGCCGCGAACATCTAGGGCCATTAATCACTGATAACACTAAACTGATGAGCGGTAAAAGCTTTTAAAAGCTTTTGGGTATGGTAGTTTTTTGCAATTTAGCGGGTGCGCGCAATTTTAAAGCTTTACATGTTTGGTGTCTATTTACCCGACGTGACCCTGAAAAAGCTCTATGTGTTCCCAAAAAATGGTATAAAATTAATTTCAGTACAGCGTTGCATGACCATGCAACGCTAATTGTCAGTCAAAGTACTGCAGCGCTGAATACTGAAAAATGGCCTGGACAGGAAGGGGGTATAAACACCCCGGTCAGCAAGTGGTTAAATACCAATGATCCTGCCATTTCTGCTCTGTTTGTGGCCTTTCTTTGAGTAACAATGCTAACCACAGGCTCCTAATGTTGTGGTAGCTTTGTCATCCTGATGCTTGGGAATGCAGGATGCCATGCTTCTGCATGGTCTGCCTTTAAGATCCCATGCCAGCCTTTTACATCACAGGCAGCCACGCCTTCAGGCCTATACCCTAAAATAATTGAATGGCCAAAGTAGCTGACACATATGAGTCACTGCAGCTTCAACCTGCCCACAGGCCTGGTCCAGAAGACAGGAAGGGCGTGAACTTGCAGTCCTGCAACTGCTAAGACGTTAGCAGCTAAAAAAAAGTATTTATTGGTGTTTTTGGTATATGAAATTAAGATGTCATTAATAGGAGGTGCCTAGTTCCCGAATACATAAAAACACCAAGGTTGACATATGTTTTAGGGTCAACTGAGTGGGACTCCTGAATCCAGCATAGTGCTAATGTTTCAATGCACATCACTGAGAGATCACAGAATGAGTATTCCATTTTATTGGAGATGTTCTCATATTCAGTGCTTACTGTAAATATTATCTAAAGAACCCTACCAGCTAGCCATGTTCCAGATGGTGTAAAGTTGTTCCCTCCATCAAACAACAAAGAAAATTTGATCTGGCCAGTCTGAAACAGCAGTGGAGAAATGCAGTGAGCACGTCCAGACTGATCCACATAACCCTGAGTATCTGTTTCATTGTTGAACCTGTTAAAAGAGAAATATAGAGTTAGTTTTATAGGAAAGTCCATTGAAAACTGATGTTTCTAATTTTGGTAAATTCCTGGGAGTTAAACCTGACAGTTTCTTATATTTTGTTTGTGAGACCTCTGCACATAAAGTGGAGCTAAAATATGGGGAGCAGCGATGGCACTTACAGTAATGCATTTTGCCAAAAGTGCCATTTCAGCCGATATGTTTCTCCAGCCGAAATTTCGGTGCATCCCTGTAAAAAATCATTTGTCCTTTGCTGTGAGTAACTTTGCACCAAGTTCACTATATGGACCGTTAATGTATTTATACATGGTGATCATACTCCCCCGGAATCATCTCGTCTCCAGAGAGAACAAATTCAGTTCAGCTAATCTTTCCTCATAGCTAAGTTCCTCCATACCTTTTATCAGTTTTGTTTCTCTTCTCTGCACTCTCTCCAGTTCCATAACATCCTTTTTGTTACCTGGTGTCCAAAACTGAACAGCATATTTCAGATGAGGTCTTACTAATGCTTTGTACAGGGGCAGGATTGTATCTCTCTCTGGAGTAAAAAGTATTGTGGTTGCTTTAGAAACTGCAGCTTGGCATTGTATGCTGTTGTAGCACCCTGTAAGCAGGAGTGCTAAGTTAAATTTTGTTTTTGTCAGATTGTATTCCAATGCTGATCTATAGTCTATACTCATTTGGTTTCCCCTAATCAATCTATTATTGTTTGCATCTGCTAGGTGTATCCTTGCTAGGTGTATCTTTGCCAAAGAGCAGAGCAACCAATAGGATATTGTTATAAGTATCTATGCCTCCCTGGCCAATCATGAGAAGGTTTGTGGCCCATGGTGAATGCTGGGAGTGGACATAAATATTCGGGGAGGACCATGCAAGGCTCTCTTTCTTTCCATGGGCCCTGCCTGGGGGAAGGCAGCTACTGACTGACTGCTTTGGCTATGCCTGAAGCCTAGGGAACAAAGCCATGAGCTCACACTGAGGCCTGAATGTGGGGGAATCAGTCACTGAAACTAGGAATGAAGGTGGCAGAGTACCTTCAACAGGCATTAGGGACCTGAGAAATGAGTCTCTGCTGTGACTGGAGAGTCTGTTCCTGACCGAATAGGTGACTTCTGTTTGAAGAACTGCTTAGCCGAGTGCTCAATACACAGATTGCCACATTTACACACTCCTAGATGTTCCTAGCCCTAAACCTCTCTTTCCCTGAAGTTATACAATAAAGTTTCTTCAGCATCATATCTACAGTCTGGATCTCAGTTTATCGGTCATCACCGAGAGCAGTAAGTGCTATTTGGGGAAGCCAGGTTTCTAAAATCCCTAGACAGGCTATGGAAGACCCATTCATCCAGCGGCTCGTTCGGTGGTGAGCGCTACACTGTATTAAGTCTATGGTCTCCCAGAACAACCTTATCCTTCTTGATTATTGACTGCCCCAATTGTACGCCCCCTAAAGTCTACAATGCGTGCATTTGTTTGCTCCCAGGTGCATAACTTCACATATTTCAGCATTAAACGTCATTTGCCAAAATCAAATGGTGCATTTAGGTCTGCTTGTAATTTGGATACATCTTGTAAGGACTTTATTCCATTACATAGGTTGGTGGGACCACGCCCGCCTGAAAAGAACTGAATATTCTCAAAAACTTGAAAGGCAAAATATATTCAGTTAGTCAAGACATATATGTGCGCTTTTATGTTACTGTCTATAGCGCAATACTTTACTGACTATATTAATTAAGTGTCAGTACTCACCAACATGTCACATTTGAACCAGGAGTGTAAGTCATGTGTAGAATTTTGAAGTCTTTCCCTCCCATTAATGTCCCTGAGTAGGGTGAAATTTTAAGGCACATTTTCTGATAATCTATGCAGCAGCTTTGAAGGTTCAAACAACTTGAATGACAGGAGCAATTCTGGAGCTGTTCACCACATTGCGAATTACATGATTCCAGTTGACCTATAAGACAACAAATATTTAAAATACATCAGTTTTACTCGACAGTGGCTTAAGGTAGGTTGGTTACCTTTTCAATAGTGAAAGTCAAAGTGCAAATAAACCTTCATTTTGTTTTTGCATATATCTACTGCTAGGAAGCAGTAGACATATGCAAAAACATTTACTAAAATAAAAAATTTACCAAATAGGTAAAAACTTACCTGTGTCTCCGCTCCCGTCTGAAGAGCTGAAGATTCTTGCTCGGCCAAGAAGGGTCATGGGGGGCGCATACACAGTAGAGAAGAGGAGAGACGCTGGGTAAGTCAATGCACGCAGCCGACAGCGTGCACTCGGACAGACACCGTGGGACACAGAAGACACAGCAGTCAATGCTGGATCAGAGACCAGCACCAGCGCTGGAGGGACTCCTGAAAACTACTGGAAAGAAGAAGATGATCGGATCAAGAGGCATCACTTAAGGTAAGTCCTTAAAGCGGCATGGGGAGGGGGGATTGTGACTTTAATGTTTATTTAAGAGATAATTGAAAGATAATGGCAAAGCATCACCATTTTTTTAAAATGCATTTTAATCAATGGAGAAGGTAAAGATGCTTCTTAGTGGGTTTTCAGGGCACAATAGGCTTTAAATGGCTCTGTAGGTTTACAGAAATTTCATTACATCTATCGTGACAAAAAAAGGCCCATCATCCTAATTTTTGTTTTCTTTTTTTCTTATATATATATTTCTTAAATATAAAAAAGTGAAATAAAAAATGTAAAGCCTTAGTACACAAATAGTGATTCAAGTTTTTAAAGTTTTAAAATTAAAGATTAAACATTTTCAAGCAAATTTTGCTTAAGCAGTTCAATGAGAAAACTAGAGAGTTTTCATATCAGCGGAATTTCACTGGTGAAATGAAGCTTTGTGGCTGAATCAATTTTGACAAAACAGCTCTGCATATCCTTGCGTGCCAACTACACCTTCAAAAAAGTTGGAAACTCAAAAAGTATTTTAATGTGACTTTTGCTGGTTGCCACAATTAATTTGAACATAGTTGCCACATAAACTAAAACCATTCAATGCTACAATGAGTATACCCATATTATTGCCAAGTATGTTTAATTGCTAAAATGAATGTGCCTGTATCTATAATTAATAGAAATTCCATAGTGAGTTGGCTTGTATCTCCAGAACAATAAACAAAGCCCCATTGCTTTAGTAAATACATTCTAATTACCATTTGAAATATGTCCATTATTACCACAGAGAGTTTTCCTTTAATTGTAGATTTAAAGCCCAACTAAAATTATATTTTAAATCAGCTAAATACATTTCAGATGCATCAAAGCAAAAGGTGTTCAAAGTCCTGTGGTTCAATTTCTTGGAGTGGAAAAGCATGTGTCCTGCCAGCATACTGCAGAAAAGGGTCCTTGCTTAATCTGGGGAAGAAGTGGGCTACCTTCAGAAGTCCAAGATGCCCTCTACTTTGTCAGAGCTAGAGCCTGGCAGAGGGGCATGAGCATAGCTGACTGGAGAGCTCTAGCTCTAACTTAGATTTTACATTCTTCAATAGGTGCTCTAGGAGCTCCACAGTCTTTATAATCCAACCAATCCAACCCAACATCTGTGGACACTTTCACTGTGAATCATTAAGTTATGTTCCCTTTTTAAGGACATGCCTTGATTTCCCAGTCCTGAAAAAGTTTACAAAAGCAGTACATTAAGGATGAAAATGTAAATAAGACTGAATCCAGCCATGGTTTTATGCCTGGATGCAAACCCCGTTTTGTAAACCCGCCCCTAATGTATGTGTTCATAGACGTAAGAGTGATATTGTCAGGTTACTGGATCCATGCTATGGAGTGTGGTGATTGATGTTAGCAGCTATGCTAAACGTAGGTATAACACCACCCCAATATATAAATCAAACGAGTGCACTGCGCTTATATAAAAAGCTGTGATGCACCAACTAGTGAAAATTAATGAATAGCTTGAATGATAAAACTACTATAAATAATTGTTTAATAATCCATCCATAAATATAATGCAACAACTAGGGAAGCCAATCAATTACTTATATGTAAAAATGTCTGATCACACACGTACACTGTCCATAGGTGACAAAATGTATCGATGCTGATGTCATCAGGCACAGAAAGCAATGGGCAGCTTGGTGAGCAGCAGATACGATTATGCAAGAGAGTCCTTTAATAAATGTGGATTTTTTTTACTTTTTTAATGAACAATTTTTTTCATACTACACTATGGGCCTCTTTATACTACACTATGTGATACTTTTCTCCGAGCTGAGTTGGAGATTGGAAGATATCTCTGTGTGGCGCATGAAACCGGCTGGAGGCACTATGAGAACATAGAGGATAAGTGGAGGATCTAGCAGTGGATCTAGTAGCAGTGGGAGAGATCTGAAACGCTGATATATGCGATCTACGACCATCTTGTATGAGGCGGTCATATAGTTTTGGTGAGTGTGGTGTGACTCTACTACGAATCACTTGTTGAACAGGGGAGCACTTGAATGCACAGTTGAATAATACTAACAATGTGGGGAAGAGAGAAGGAATATCTGTGACTGGTTGTTGCTGACTTTGTGGACTTTGGTGCTATTACCACTTTTGCAATCACTGCTATGAGTATATGGACACACACAACACATTAGAAAAGGTGTTAATTCACATTGATTAAGTTACTTAAGCACAATTAGTTTATAGATTTATTATTTATTTAATGATGGATTATTAAGTAATGTTAGTGTGGGATCAGACATTTTCACATTTAAGTAATTGATTAGCTTCACTAGTTGATTCACTATTATTTATGGATGGATTATTAAACAATTATTTATAGTAGTTTTATCATTTGAGCTATTGATTAATTTTCACTAGCTGGTGCTTCATATATGTTTATATAAGTGCAAAGCACTCATTTGTTTTATAAGGAAGAGTGATATCCCTATCCTATAACTCTATTGGTTACCTTAAAGTGCAACTTTGTGTTAGTTTTGTAGGAAATCAGGGAATGATTTTTTTTGCCATCTGGGAAGATTTCCCATCACATTTCAAAAGAGAAAAAGTGAGGTGCGTCTCACAAACAACAATAAAAACCTATTGTACCAGCAAAAGGAACGCAGTACACAGAGTTGCAAAATTATATTCTTCCTTTACTAAAATAGCCAGCAGGAATGAGTTCTATACTGATGCGTTTCACGCTAGTTACATCGCATTTTCCAAGAATAACACATCAAATACACACACATCATTATATAGGAACAAAGATTTAATTACACATGAGCATTACAGTAGTATTAGACTCTCAAAGTTTTTCATTATTAAATCCAGATCATACAAATGTGCATTATGTTTCTTTTTACACTTTTGCCCAAGCACTTACAGTCATTATGTTTCCAAACAGCTGGCTCCAACTCTCTCAGCTTGGCTTCCCTGAACTTCCTGTCTAGTACAAGATCACAAGCGCCAGAGTAGTCTCCAGCAGCTGTTTATTTACTACCTTGTAGAAGGGAGAAGAGAAGAGCAGGAAGCAGGGGAATGAATTGCCTTGCTGTGCCTGTGTGTTTGTAGAGAGACACACAACTTACTAGCACACACAAGGGTGGCTCCATAGGACCTTGCAAAGGAAAGGAGCCACCCTAAAACAGGATATCTGGGCCTGTGGTTAGGGGAGCAGCTGATTCTGCAGGAAGCTAAAACTTTTAAATATCAATGAGCAGCATCCATTGTAAGTGATTTATTCAGCATTTAAAATAGCTTAAGAACCTTTTGACTTTAAAATCACTTTAACCCCTCCACTGTTCAAATATATCCAATTCCATTGCAAAATACAAAATGTCTATGAAGACATTTTTATGTTTATGTGTTAAACATAAACAGTGTTAACAATGTTTATGTGTTAAAGGAGAACTATGGGGTTAAGGCTTTTCCCCATAGTTCTCCTTAGGGTAACGGCAGGACACAAACTAGCGTCCTCCCGTCACCCCAGGCTCAGTATACCGCGAGCTACTGCTCGCGGTATACTGAGATGCCGCAGCTGAAGTGGATCCCGACAATTATGTCTGGATCCGCCCAGCTGCATGACTGACAGCTGGCTCTGCCTATCTAGAGGCAGAGCCAGCTGTACCCGCCCCCTCCCCCGTCCGTTCCGCCAGTTAGCCCTGGCGGATTGGAGCGTGGAGGGGGAATCCAGCCCCTCCCCTGTCACGGCAGAGAGCCGTGACAGGATCGAGAGGTGAGCGAACGCTGGTATGTGTTCGCTCACCTCCCGATCTACTAAGCCGACCTGTGACAGTCTCATTGTCACAGGTCAGCTAGAACTATGAGGTGAGTGAAAAGCACTCACCTCATAGTTCTCCTTTAACAAATGCAATTACCCAATTTTCACAGCACACCATCTACTGGCAAAACTGATCGATTATACCTGCTACAATATTATTAGAACACTTCATAATTACTATAACCCTACGAAAATTACTGCGAAATACAATACACATAGGATATGTGCTTCGAGGATTTCACATGATCTACAAAAAGGTCCAAAAACTCAATTTAAAGTTATACTAAAGTCAGAATGTTTTAATCTATTTTAAAAGCTGATTAAATCACTTGCAATAGGTGCTACTTTTTAATGTTTAAAAGTTGTAATTTTTCTGCAGAATCAGCTGATCCCTGAGCACTGGTCCTGATATCCTGTTTTTCTTCCTGCTCCCCTCCTACTTCCTTCTTTCTCCAAGCTTGTAGATGGATATTTGCTAGAATTCGCGCTCTCTTGTACAAGGCAGGAAACTCAGGGAAGTGGAGCTAAGAGAGTTGGAGCCAGCTGTTGGGAAACATGATCACTGTAAGTGCCTGGACAAAAGTGGAAAGAAATACTTTGCTGGACAGTGTATATTTGTTTGATCTGGATTCATTATTGAAAAAAAGTTTAAGAGTTTAAAAATATTTTAAATAGGACAGGCAAAATGCAGTACTATGAGAGTGTGCATCTTCAGTACACACTCTCAAATCCCAAGTAATGCAACCACCACATTTAAGGATTGGTAAGCTGCAATATATAAAATGTTTGTTTTTAGGTGTAGATATGCTTACTTCGGTCTGTGTGGCTGTTGGAGAGTTTTCTTCACTTCCAGTCTTCACTTCCAGTCTCCCCCAAAACAGGAAGTACGTCTTTTCCCACATTATCGAAAACTTTTGACTATAGCTACACTTAAAAGTTACATTTGTTATGTTGCTTAGTGTGCCTATACTGT